TTCTTTAAACCGTGGATACTTAAACCCCTCGGGTCCCCATATCCACAAGTTGACGAAATGACTCCATTTTGGTGCTCAATTCTAACACTATCTGCTATCTCGCTTTTTGCATTTCGGGCTCCTGCGCTCTGGGAATAACCTTTTTATTTTTAATAATATTTTTAAAGGGAAACAGCTGATTGTCAAAATCCGAGCCTCACTGCCGCTGTGCTGCTGCCACCATCGCTGTTTCCTCGCCCTTCTGGAGCCCTCTGCCCTGGAGACTTGATGTGGTTACCCCATGGGGATTTCAGGGAGCAGACCAGTCACCAGGCTCCAGCCCTTGGAAGGAGCTATAGTTTTCCAAGTTTTCCAAGGACGTCAGCGCTGCAGGGCTCCATATTTTGGCTCAGTGAAAATCATCAGACTCCTTTTTGTAACTTTTGGACTTTCTGCCACATTTTGAGGACTTCTTTTACCTTAATTAACTTTTCACCCATGAATATTCCCAAATTGGACTATGAATTCATACTATGCCATGATCAAGGCTTTTATCAATTGCTCCAGGGAGGGGGGGGGGAGAGAATGCCTGGATATTATTTTTATCGTGATTTCTGTATTTCTATATTTCCCTTCATGTATTTGACCTAGCCCTGACCCTTTTGCCCCCTTCCCATCTCCTTGAGGAAAAATGTATAAGGAAGTTGCCCTGCTTCTGAAGAGACAATTAGCGATTGTGGAAACCCTTGTCTTAGAACATTTCTTGCATGGAAAAATAACAAAGAAATATCTCCTTGACTTCGGAGGTGGACCATCAAGGACAGGCATGTAGGCGGGGCGGGGGGGGGGGGCTTGAGGGGCTTTCACCCCCCCCCCGGAAATTCTCATGGTGGTCCGCTAAAAGGCCTGACTGGTGCATTATTTAAACTGTTATATTTATTCATATCATGATCTGATCACCGTACTCAATATATCCCATATGCATGGGGGTATTGGGGTAACAATACAAAAGGTTTGCTAGGGTAGACCCTCTTTCACTCGGACTCAGCCCCCCCGAAACAAACTCAGCCCCCCCCCCCCCCGAATTGAAATCCTTGCTATGGGCCTGATCAAGGGGATAATCACTTGGCAGACTTTTTAATCACATTACAATTGGGGGAAAGAGGACCTTTGGAAAGTCTTCTTCCTCCTGACCCGTTTCCTTTCAAGCCTTTCCATTAAAGACATTCACCCAAAATCTCCCCCATTGTGCCCCTGCCTGACCGCAAGAGGAAAACCCGGATTAAGTAGTATCGCTCACATCGATGCTTATCTCAGATCAGTCACGACACAATAGATTGGCTTTTCTTGAAGGCCAGTTCGGACTTGTTAGGCCCCCTGGACATTTCCTGTAACTTCATAATCCAATCAAGAATGCATTGTTTTCCTTCGTCCCGCCTCTCACCCTTCTGATTCGCTGGAGCGCCAAGGCGGCAGGAGTCTACTGATTGGCTCTGGTGCACCGTGGAAGCCCTGTGATTGGCCCAGGCACGCGGGGGACGGCCAAGCCTCCTCCCAGGTGTTTGCACACCAACCAATCACCATCGAGCCAGGCGAGGGGCGGGGAGCGGGAGTTTTGAACCACACAACTCTGTATTTTCTATAAAAATTGCATTTATTTCTGTACACGCATGCTTAGCTTGGTGAATGATTGCTGCTTTGCACCCTTTTCAGCTGAATTGCTAATAAACATCTCGGTGGCGCTTCCTTCTACTTTGGTGAGATTCTTATTCAGAACCTAGGGGAAATAAATTGCTTAAAATTAGGCTTCTCTTTTCTCACCAATGTAGCGATCCCTCTTTGGTGGGGCTGCAGGGTCTCTCCTCCTGGAGCAGACCCTTCTAAAGTTCCTATCGACTTCATGGGCATAAAATTACCTTTATGGATAAGATAAAGCCGAACTCATTATGCATAGGCAAATATCCGCTATAACCTTATATATTTGTTTAAATCACACACACACATATAAAATAATAAAAACAACAACAACATATGCCAATATGTAAAACAGGTGGCTGGGAGAGTGTCCCCCTTTACTTCCTGATCGCACATTGAATGTAAGGGATGCAATTATTTAAAAAAAAAACTGGGCACAAGATTACCTTTATGGATAAGATAAAGCCGAACTCACTATGCATAGGCAAATACCCGCCATAACCTGAAAGAAAAATCTATGACTCAGACCCGGTGGACGAGGCTGGGGGGTGGTGGTGGTTAACATCTCTCAGCTCTGCCCACCAGGCTTCTTGATGTAGCAACAGGCTAGGCTGGAGGGCAGGGAGGAAGAGTTGCAGTTGTCAATTGCGATTGGGATTCCATCTCACTGATCAGAAGCTACAAGTGCTGGGGGACATCAATGTCCATGTGGAGACCAGGATTTAATGGCTACCATGGCAACCATGGGGCTGTCCCAGGTCATATCTGTCTCTACCCATGTTGCTGGGAACACCTTTGTCACCATTATCTGATCAGGTTTAGGCTGACTGCCAGGGTTGGGGGAGTTATTAAAATGGTCAGCCCCAGGAAGCTGATGGATCCAGAAGGATTCCCGATAGCTCTTGGGGATTTTCCTACCAACAGCTCTGGCAAACCTCTGGAATACAGCTCTGATTTGGACACCACTAATGATACAGTCTCTGTGGATGTAACCCAGGAACCTGCTTGTCCTGTTTCAATTGATTAATTTAAATTGGTGCAATCTGAGGATGTGGACAAGATCCTTGGGGAAGCAAGACACACCACATGCACTCTAGACCCTTGCTCTTCTTGGCTAACTAAACAGGCTGGGGTGGGGGTGGGGAGTTAGTTGATTAGGTGAAGAGGATTATCTAGATCAGGGGTCCTAAAAGTAAGGCCTGAGGGCCGGATACGGCCCTCCAAGGTAATTTACCCAGCCCTCGCTCAGGGTCAACCTAAGTCTGAAATTACCTGAAAGCACACAACAACAACAACAACAACAACAATCCTATCTCATCAGCCAAAAGCAGATCCACACTTCCCATTGCAATACCAATAAGTTTATATTTGTTAAAATTGTTCTTCATTTTAATTATTGTATTGTTTTTGCACTACAAATAAGATATGTGCAGTGTGCATAGGACATGTTTTCTTCAAATTATAATCCGGCCCTCCAACAGTTTGAGGGACTGTGATCTGGCCCTCTGTTTAAAAAGTTTGAGGACCCCTGATCCAGATCCATTCCAGTCTGGTTTCAGGCCCGGCTATGGGATTGAGATGGCTTTGGTTGCCTTGGTGGATGATCTACGTAGAGAGCTTGATAGTGGGAGTGTGTCCCTGTTAGTTCTCTTGGACTTCTCAGCAGCCTTCAATACTATTGACCATGGTATTCTTCTGGGTCACCTGGCTGGGATGGGGCTTGGGGGCATTGTTTTACAATGGCTCCAGTCTTTCCTGGAAGCTGGGGCTGGCCACAGCCAATAGGGAGCTCTGGCCTGGGTTGGACCAGGAGGTCACAAAGAGTCGGAAGTGACTGAATGAATAAACAATAAAGTATGCCCAGATATTTATAGGCTACAGGCTGATTGCACATTATGGTTTGTCCATTTGGCATCTCTATGCCCTCGATGTGAGTAATTTTCGATCATCATCATCATCACCTCCTCAGGGGAGCATGCTTGCTCCATCAATGTTCAACATTTACACAAATGATCAACCACTGCCAGAAAAGACAGAGAGTTTAATCTGTGCTGATGATCGTGCCATTACCGCCCAAGCAGGGAGCTCTGAGATGGTTGAACAGAAGCTTTCCAAAGATCTAGGTGCCTATTACAGGGAAAACCAGCTGATTCCTAATCCATCTAAAACACAGACATGTACTTTTCATCTTAAGAACAGACAAGCAACCCGAGCTCTGAGGATGACCTGGGAAGGAACCCCACTGGAGCATTGCAGCACACCCAAATACCTGGGAGTAACCCTGAACCGTGCTTGACTTACAAGAAGCACTGTCTGAATTTCAAGCAAAAAGTGGGTGCTAGAAACAATATCATATTTATTTATTTATTTATTTCTTGTACTTATTGACCGCCACTCTCAGCCCTAGGGGCGACTCGTGGCGGTGAACAGCAACATAGAAAGACAGCATACAAAAGTTGAAAGCTGACTGGCACAATCTGGGGATCACAACCAGATACAGTGAAGACATCTGCCCTTGCGCTTTGCTACTCTGTTGCTGAGTATGCATGCCCGGTGTGGAACACATCTCACCACGTTAAAACAGTGGATGTGGCTCTTAATGAGACATGCCTCATCATCATGGGGTGTCTGTGCCCTACACCACTGGAGAAGTTACACTGTCTAGCCGGTATTGCACCACCTGACATCCACGGAGAAGTAGCAACCAATAGTGAAGGACCAAGGCAGTGACATCTCCAGCTCATCCCTTGTTTGGGCATCAGCCAGCACATCAACGACTTAAATCAAGATATTTTTTTCTAAGATCTACAGAGACATTCGCTGGAACAACTCAGCAAGCGAGAATCCAAAAGTGGCAGCCTCAAACCCAGAACCTCAATCAATGGCTGATACCAAATGAGAGACTCCCCCCTGGGCACACAGAAGACTTGGAAGGAGCTGATCAGGCCGTGCTCTGGCACCACGAGATGCAGAGCCAACCTTAAGAAATGGGGCCACAAAGTGGAGTCCACAACATGCGAGTGTGGAGAAGCACAAACCACAGACCACTACACCAATGCAACCTGAGCCCATGCACAATGGAACACCAGAGGCACTCCGAGTGGCCAGTTTCTGGTCAAAGGACATTTAGTAGAATACCAACTCTGCAAACTTTGTGGGTTTTTTTGTTTGTTTTTAATGCAATACAACTGTTTTGGTTCGCTCCTGAGAAGAAAAAATCATCATCTCTCCCAAACCCTTCTGGCTTGAAAGCAACCCTTGCCTGCAATGACGCCTGGGCGCCACCGGGGGCGGTAGAGGGGCGGCCCGTGCATTCGCCGAGCTTGCTTTCTCCCTCGTCTGACGTCACTTCCGCTCGGCGTCGAGAGTCCTAGTGAAGGCCTGTTGCGGTGAGTTTCTCTCTCATTTCCCCGTTGTTGGACCTTTTTCCTTCGAAATAAATGCCTGCTCTTTTTTCTCTATCTGTATGTTCCTTCATAAAACTCATGTGTTTTCCCCTGCTATCACTATCTATTGCTGTATATCTTTTATGTGTTTTTCTTAATTAAATTCCATGCGGTTTAATAAACTGCATTTATTAGGATTATTAGTCTTTTATTTCCTTGCATTTTTCCTTCTGATTAGTTGTATTTTTCCTCGATTATATACATCTTTTCCTGTTATTTAGGCCTCATTTATTTCTATAGATTTTCTCTTCATAAAAGACATATATTTTTTCTCTGCTTATATAAAATACATAATACTTTTAATTGTTTCTTATTCTTTTCTGTATTTTCTTATTATTGTATATTTTCCTTCACAAAACACAGGTATTTCCCCCCTCTTTTTTGCTATAGCATTGTTTATCTTTTTAACACATTAAAAAACAACAACCCGATTTCTACTTGTGTTGTTTTCTATATATATATATAGTCTAATATTATTTAAATATATATATGCAAGAGAATATATTGTTTTTATTATGTTTTATTGATGTTATTTGTAATGAATTTTTATCTATGTTAAATGTTTTTAATGTTTAATTATCTTTGTACTGTTGTGGGCATCGAATTGTGCCATTTTGTAAACCGCCACGAGTTGCCCTTGGGCTGAGAATGGCAGTATAGAAATATAGTAAATAAATAAATAAATAAAATTATTGTCGAAGGCTTTCATGGCTGGAATCACTAGGTTCTTGTAGGTTTTTTCGGGCTATAGGGCCATGTTCTAGAGGCATTTCTCCTGACGTTTCACCTGCATCTATGGCAAGCATCCTCAGAGGTAGTGAGGATGCTTGCCATAGATGCAGGCGAAACGTCAGGAGAAATGCCTCTAGAACATGGCCCTATAGCCCGAAAAAACCTACAAGAACCTAATATAATTATTGTTCAGCTATCATCTCGACCTCTGTGTTAGAATGAGAAGATATTAATATATAAACATGCATACATGTTAGAATATATATATCTATACACATATATATCAGAGTAGGAAAGGATAATGACGATGCTAGATGGATTACGGACTATGAATTGGCGAACATTGACCACAAGATGATTTTATTGTTGCTAGTATATTGTTTGACTGTCTTAATTAGTTATAATTGTTGACATTATATGGCAAATGTGTGTATTGTATATTGTATATTGTACTGTATTTTGTAATTGTTAGGCATCGAATTGTGCCTTTTTGTAAGCCGCCCTGAGTCCCTCCTAGGGGGTTGAGAAGGGTGGGGTAGAAGCACTCCAAATAAATAAATATATAAGACTAGGAGCCCCAGATGGCACAGCAGGTTAAACTGCTGAGCTGCTGAACTTGCTGACCGAAAGGTTGGCGGTTCAAATCCTGGGAGCAGAGTGAACTCTCACTGTTAGCCCCAGCTTCTGCCAACCTAGCAGTTCAAAAATATGCAAATTTGAGTAGATCAGTAGGTACCACTTCTGCGGGAAGGTAATGGCACTCCATGCAGTCATGCCGGCCACATGACCTAGGTGGTGTCTATGGACAACATTGGCTCTTTGGCTTTGAAATGGAGATGAGCACTACTCTCCAGGGTCAGACTCGACTGGACTTAATGTCAAGGGGAAACCTTTACCTTATATATAAGACTATATAATGATAATAATATTGTAATATAATGATATAGAATGATTATATATATATATATATATATATATATATAATTTTGCCTCTAGATTTTCTTCTTATTCCTATGAATTTTTCTTTATTAATGCATATTTTCCTCCTATTATTCTGTATTATCCAACCATCCATCCATCCACCAATCTATCCATCTACTAATCTGTCCACATTTCCTTCTAGCTATCCATCCACCCACCAATCTCTCCACAATTCAATCTGTTCTATCTGTCTATGTATTCATCCATCCACCAATCTATCCATCCACAAATCTATCCACATTTCCTACTAGCTAGCTATCCATCTACCAATCTATCCACAATTTCTTCTATTCTGTCTATCCATCCATATCCATCTGATATTATATATACATTATATTTAATATAAATGTATATACGGAGAGATGTGTGTGTATATGTGTGCATACAATATATATATTATTGGCAAAGGGTAGATTTGCGTGAAGCCCAAAAAGAGCAGATCGTTTACAAACTGGATAGGATCTAATATATAGAATATTGTATGCTTTACCCTTAATGCATAGTCTGGTCTTTCTTAAAGGCAAGAGCATGTCTTCGGAGTCCGGGAAGAAGCGCAAGCCAAAGGTGATCCGGACGGAGGGTGTTGCTTCGGAAGGGAAGCGCAGCCGGGCAGAGGCCGAGCATAGCCAGGTGGGTTTGGGGTGAGGGCAATGCCTGGGAAAGCTGGACCGAGGGCGGGGGGCGGGCTTGGGGAACTAGATCTCTCTCTCATCCTCTCTGTTTTGACAGGAGGGACGGCCTTTGAGCGAGGAGGCGGAAGTGGAGCTGCGGGACCCCAGCAAGGATTTTGCCCTCTACCAGCGCACCTGCCAGGACCTCCAGCGCCTGATGCTCGAGATCCAGGAGCTGAAGAGCCGAGGCGGCCGGGACAGTGTACGTTTGAGGAGCCCCAGAGGAAATCTGACCTAACCCTCTCCCAAATGCAGGAGGCCTCTCCTCCAAGCCTACCCGCTGAGGGATTAATTTCACGTGTGTGTTAGGGCTGTGCAAAATTATAATTCCTCCTTGCAAGAAGGGAAAAAATAGGCCCACTTTCAGAGCTGGAGAAGGTGGAAAGTAGGCCACTTTCACGAAACTGGAGACAGGGGAAAGTAGGCCTTTCAGAGCTGAAGAACGGGGAAAACAGGTCTTCTAAAAACTGGAGAAGGGGAAAAGTAGGCTCACTTTCAGAGCTGGAGAAGGCGGAAAGTTGGTCTTCTTGAAACTCGAGAAGGGGGAAAGTAGGCTTTCTTCTCAAAACTGGAGAAAGGTGAAAGTAGGCCATTTTTCATCTTTAGTGCAGTTTCATGAACTTGTCAGCTTTTCTGATACACCAACTGGGAAATGACACGTTACCAATCGAGTTGGGCAAACCTTTCTTGTATTTTATGTGTTCTGTATTGCACTTTTGTTGGTGTGTAAGCTGCCCCAAGTCCCTTTCAGGAGATGGTGGCGGGAAATATTTTGTGTGTGTGTGTGCACACACACATACACACACACATAAATATTGGTATAATGTTGAGGTCCATTTGTGGCAATGTGTTCTCCAGGCAGCGGAGATTGAAGAGCGCCGGATCCAGAGCTGCGTCCATTTTATGACCCTGAAGAAGCTCAACCGTTTGGCTCACATTCGGCTGAAGAGCGGACGAGACCAGACCCATGAGGTGAGTTTGTGGTGACTTTTCATTCACTTTGGACAGTTTTAGGTGAGGGGGAAAATCACATTATTATTATTATTATTATTGTTATTATTTATTGTTAATGTTGATTTTTATTTAGTAATATAATTTAGTGGTATAATTAAGTGGTAGTATTCAGTAGTAGTTTATAGCAGTATTATTTAGTAGTATTATTTAGTAGTGCTGATGATCGTAGCCTTACTATATATGTATATTAATATAAACATAATAGCCTTAATGTAGTATTATATATTATATAAATTTTAATATTATGTGTAATAATACACTATAATATGATATAATTATATTATATATTAATATAAATATAAAATAGAATTAAATGTTGCTCAATTATTTAATAATACATTCTATCATTATATAATATTATATAATATATTAATGTAAATATAAAAATATAATTAAATGTTACTCAATTATTTAAACAGTTCTGTTATGGATGGGCCAATATTCCCTTACTTCTGCCGTCCTGAACCTAAAAGTATATCCCATTGTGTGGTTTGTTGTTGTTGTTGTTGTTGTTATTATTATTTCTAGGCCAAGCAGAAGGTGGATGCCTATCACTTGCAGCTCCAGAACCTTCTCTACGAAGTCATGCACCTCCAGAAGGAGATCACCAAATGCCTTGAATTCAAGTACGAACCCTATGGATGCTAGAGGGCGTTTCAAGGCTATTTAGACCCTGTATTGTTTGTGTGTGTATATACATATGTATGTATGTGGGTGTATAGGGGGTTAGAGAGATAGATATATCTATCTCCCCCTTCATGTTACCTGTTGATTTTTGGCAAAACCATGCATTTTGTAGGGTTTTTCTAAACTATATTGAGACCTTACAATACATGTATAAGTCTATCAGATATCTATCTTGGATATCTGCGTCTACACTGCCATTTATCCCAGGTCAAAGCAGAAAATGTGGGGTTTTATTCAGCTGTGTGGAAGTGGCCCAAGAGATGTGTCTGTCTGTCTATCTATCTAACCCGAATAATTATGTAGAGTTTTTAAAAAGCTATTTAGACCCCCTCTTTCTCTAAATAGAAAGAGAGAGAGGTGGATAGATAAATATAGAGAGGGGGGATAGAGAGAGATGGATTTATAGTGATAGATAGACTTATTGAAATAAACTTACAGAGGGAGAGAGATGGATAGAAAGATAGATGGATTTATAGTGATAGATAGATAGAAATAAACTTAGATAAAGAGGTGGATAGATATTAGAGAGATGAATAGACAGATAGATGGATTTATAGTGAAAGATAGATTTATTGAAATAAACTTATAGAGATGGATAGATAGAAATAGAGAGAGAGAGAATTTATCATATTGATTTATTGAGATAGATTTATATATAGAAAGAGACGGATGGAGAGACAAAGATAAAGGTATACAGATAGAGGGTGAGATCAAGGGAGATATATATATATGTGTGTGTGTGTGTATATATATATATATAGAGAGAGAGAGAGAGAGAAATGGAAAGAGATAGATATATAAATAAAAATAGATCGATAAAGATAAATTGACAGAGATAGATATATAGAAGACCAAGGGAGAGATTGAGAAAAATAGAAAGAAGTAAATAGAGATTTATATATGACAAAAGGAGAGATTGAGTGAAATAGAAATAGAAAGGGATAGATCAAGATAGATAGATAGATAGATAGATAGATAGGGATTACCATAGGAGAGATTGAGAGAAATTTAAAAAAGAGAGAGATAGAGATAGATCAGTGGTTCTTGACCTGTGGGTTCCCAGGTGTTTTGGCCTCTCAACTCCCAGAAATCCCAGCCAGTTTACCAGCTGTTTTGATTTCTGGGAGTTGAAGACCAAAACATATGGAGAACCACAGGTTCCGAAACACTAACATAGACAGATGACCAAGGCCCTTCCACACAGCCATATTGCCCAGAATATCAAGGCAGAAATTCCCACTATGTCGGCTTTCAAATGGGATATCTGAGTCTACACTGCTATTTATCCCAGGTCAAAGCAGAAAATGTGGGATTTTATTCAGCTGTGTGGAAGTGGTCCAAGAGAGAGATTGAGAGAAAGAGAAAGAGAAATAGGGATAGATAGATAGATAGATAGATAGATAGATAGATAGATAGATAGATAGAGGTGACCAAGGGAGAGATTGAGAGAAATAAAAAGAAATCTATAGAGATATATAAATAATCAAGGGAGATATTGAGAGAAATAGAAAGAGATAGATAGATAGATAAATAAATAGAGTTAGAGATATATAGATGACCAAGGGAGAGAAAGAGAGATAAAGATAGAGATATATAGATGACCAAGGGAGAGATTGATACAAATAGAAAGATAGATTGATAGATAGAAATAGATAAGAGATAGAAAGATTGCTAGAGAAGAAGAGCAGGAGAGAGATGCCTTCCTGTTGCCTCTGTGACTGAAAAAGAGACCGGACGTCCCAGCTCTCCCCACTCCCTCTCTGTGTGTGTGTTTGTTGACTTATTTCCTTCCTTCCTTGCAGGTCAAAGCACGAGGAGATTGAGCTGGTGGGGCTTGAGTCCTTCTACTTGGAGGCACCCAGAGAGATCAGCCGGCCGGAGGTCACTCGGGAAGACCCGCATCAGCAGACCCTGGCCCGCCTGGACTGGGAGTTAGAGCAGCGCAAGCGGTAGGAAGGAAGGAATAATTGTTTTTGTTGTTATTAATGACCTGGCCAAAATGTAGCTGTACATCAGATCTGCATTGCACACTCCCCTTTGCGCTGAGCCACAGCCAAAAGGGGAAGCCGCTTCAAGGAGCATCAGGTCTAGTCAATCTCCAATTTAATTGCCAGACTTCAGTGCCCATCACAAGTATTGAACCTGACTCAGCACATGGAAGATGGTTTTGAAAGGCAGTAGATCACAGGAGCTGTCAGTAGCTTGTGATACTGTAAACCATCAACATCTCTTGAGAAAAATTCATAATATCACAAAGGATTACCACCACTTCATAGGAAAACTACTACAAAGCAGGAGCTTTTTTGTTGAGTTCCGGGGCCAGACCCCCACCGAAATTTGGGACAGAGAAACGGATCGCAATCTACCCAGATTCCACAAGCCTAGTAGATCTAGATCAAGAGTGAGATGTGAGAAAGGGATTGCCTGGTGCCTTCCTGCTTAGCACAAATAGGATTGGACTGGAGGGGGCCTAGCAAAGGATACCGTCCGATCCCTCCCATCAGAAGGCCACCCAGCCAACCCTTTGCCTCAAGGCCATGGAACCTGAGTCTTAACAAGCTTTCTGTGTCTTCCTTCTCTCTGTCCTTCTTGTGTGTAGCCTGGCGGAGAAGTACAAAGAAGGCCTGTCCCAGAAGGAGACCATCCTGAAGGAGATCGAGGTCAAGAAGGAGTATCTCAGCAACCTTCAGCCCAGGCTCCACAGCATTATGCAGGTCGGCCAGCTTTATGTTACCATCAACATGATCATGATCAAGACTATTATTATGTTCATCAGCATCCTATTGTTATAAATACTGATCATAATAACAATAACAATTATAACAGACAGACAAACAAACAAAACACAAAATTTGCAGACTTGGTATTCTATTAAATGTCCTTTGACCAGTATCTGGCCACTTGGAGTGCCTCTGGTGTTGCTGCAAGAAGGTCCTCCATTGTGCATGTGGCAGGGTTCAGGTTGTATTGCAGTAGGTAGTCTGTGGTTTGCTCGTCTCCACACTCACATGTCACGGATTCCATTTTGTGGCCCCATTTCTTAAGGTTGGCTCTGCATCTCGTGGTGCCAGAGCGCAGTCTGTTCAGCGCCTTCCAAGTCGCCCAGTCTTCTGTGTGCCCAGGGAGTCTCTCATTTGATATCAGCCATTGATTGATAATACATTATCATCATATTATCATATCATTCTTTTATTATTATTATTATTAATACCATCATGTTATTGTTATTAGCGTTATTATTATCATTATTGCTATTATCACCATATTTTATTATGATTGTCATCATTATTATCATCATTATCATCATTATCAGTATTTCTAATTAGAAATAGTATCATTATTATTGATATCGCCATCATTATTACCATTATTATTATTATTAAATTATTTTTTTCTCCTAGGCCTCACTTCCTGTCCACCTCACCTCTCAATGGCCTGTCGAACAGGTCAAATAGGTCAAGACCCAAATCAACTAATACTGTAATAAGAATAATATATTTCTTTATATCCCACTCAATAATAAGAGGAACGTTTTACTTTTATTTATACTCCACTTAATAATAATAATAATAATAATAATAATAATAATAATAATAATGTATTATATTTATTTATACCCCTCTAAATAATAATAAAAGCAATGATAATAATAATGTATTTATTTATACCCCACTAAATAATAATAATAATAATAATAATAATAATAATAATAATAATAAATATATTTATTTATACTCCACTAAACAATTCGAACAAGCGTTTGACTAAACAGTGAAATTGAACATAGGAATACGGAACAATGGATAATGAGAGTGGATTCTGATTTTATTTTTGAGGCGTTATGATTGTTATACTGTTGTTAATTGTTGATGCTATAATCTGTTTTAATTGCATTATACTGTTTTGTGATATTTTGCATTGTTGCGTAAACCGCTTTGAGTCGCCTAAGGGCTGAGAAAAGCGGTATAGAAATAAAGTAAGTAAATAAATAGTAGTAATAATAATCGATTTGTCATTGATCCACTCCTTTGGGCTTCACCCAAATCTACCATTTGCCAAAATATATGATCCTGTGCTTTTCTTTTCCATTTCTGACCAAATAGCTTAACTATTGGTTCATCCCATGGTTTAAATATTTAAATTTAAAGTTAATGTAATGTAATTGCTAAAATACCAAATATGAACCAATAATAATAATAATAATAATAACAACCATAACAATAATAATAAATATTTATACCTCACTTAATAATAATAATAATAATAATAATAATAATAATAATAATAATAATAATTCTTTCTTTTCCTTACAGGCTTCTCTGCCTGTACAGGAGTACCTCTCGATGCCCTTTGACCAGGTCCACAAGCAACATGAAACGGCCCGGCACCTCCCTCCTCCCCTTTATGTTCTCTTTGTCCAGGCCAGCGCCTATGGACAAGCCTGCGGTAAGTCGGGAACTCAAGGGGATTCTGGGAATTGTAGTCCTAGGAAAATACTTTTTAAAATATTCTTTTTTCTATATTTTGCACAGACAAGAAGCTGGTGGTGGCCATTGAAGGGAACGTGGAGGAGGCCAAGGCACTCTGCAAACCGCCAGAAGACTCTCAAGGTAATAAAAAAAGTATTATTATTATTATTATTAGTATTATATTTTTTACCCGCCTCTCCATTTAAAAAACACACCATAAAATACACACATGAAAACTGGTTTCCATGCAATATATATATATGAAACTACAGAAACTACATGATTCTATTTTCATGGTTGTATATTTTTAGAGTTTTAAATTGCTGAACTGGTAATATTCAATTGTAATGTTAATATTTGTGTATTTGTATAGTGCAGGGGTCCTCAAACTAAGGCCCGGGGGCCGGATGCGGCCCTCCAAGGTATTTACCCGGTCCTCATTAAGGGTCAACCTAAGTATGAAACTACTTGAAAGCACACAACAACAACAATCCTATCTCATCAGCCAAAACCAGACCTACACTTTCCATTGAAATACTAATAAGTTTATATTTGTTAAAACTGTTCTTAATTTTAATTATTGTATTGTTTTAAAATGTTTTTTGCACTATAAATAAGATATGTGCAGTGTACATAGGAATTCATTCATGTTTTCTCGAATTATAATCCGGCCCACCAACAGTTTGAGGGACGGTGACCTGGCCCTCTGTTTAAAAAGTTTGAGAACCCCTGGTATAGTGTATTGGTTTTATTGTGAGTGTCTTCTTTTACAGAACTATAAAGTGGACTTTTGTGTGTGTGTGTGTGTCAGAAGGAACTTGAGAAACTGCAAGTCACTTCTGGTGTGAGAGAATTGGCCATCTGCAGGGATGTTGCCTAGGGGACGCTGGATGTTTTGATGTTTTACCATCCATGTGGGAGACTTCTCTCATGTCCCTCATCTGCGCTCTCTCCGGATTCAAACTTCCAACCTGTCGGTCTTTAGTCCTGCCAGCATAAGGGTTTAACACAAATATTATATATATATATATATATATACACACACACACATATACACACAAACACTTGTGTGTGTGTGTGTGTGTGTGTGTGTATAATCTATATATAATCATTGAGATAAGCTGGACTACACCTCCCATCCTTCCCAGACAGCATTGTGGTGGTAGTCCATGGCATCTGGTGTATTAGACTGCATAGAAATCCACTTTGTATTGATAATTGGAGTTAATTGTTTCAAAATGTATTATTATTTATTTGATTCTCCTTATAATTATATATAAATTGCATTTTATTTGGGTTTGCAGATGACGAGAGTGACTCGGACGCTGAGGAGGAACAGACCACGGTAAGCGGGGGCCTATTATTATGTTGTAACCCTTCTCAACTCTTGGGAAGAGATGAGTAAGATGGCAATAATAATAACAACAACAACAACAACAACAACAACAACGTATTCACTCTCCTTAAACCTTGGGGAGAGATGGGTAAGAAACACATTATTATTATTATTATTATTATTATTATTATTATTATTATTATTATTTAATATAGTAACCCTCAAGTGTTGTGGAGAGATGGTTAAGAAATAATAATAATAAATGGAAGTCTTGGGGAAGAAATAAAAATAATTATAATTATTATGTATTAACCCTTCTCAAGCCTTGGGGAGAGATGGGTAAGAATGTATTATTATTGATGTTCTTAGAAGCGTCGGCGCCCAACGCTGGGGGTCCAGCTGGACGACAAGCGCAAGGAGATGCTGAAGCGCCACCCGCTGTCTGTCAGCGTTGATCTCAAGTGCAAAGGTCAGGGGCTCGAGTAACAAATCTAAACAGTCTGATGCCCTTTTGATGTTGCTATAGAGTTTCACTGGAGGTGCTGCCATTTTGTTGCAGACGGGAGCCTCCTCCACCTGACCTTCTACTTCCTGATGAGCCTCAACGTGGTGACGGTCAAGGCCAAGGTGACCGCCGCCAAAGTGACTACCCCCATCAGCGGCGGGTGAGTTCCTTGGGGAATTGTTAGGGTCAAAAAAAAAAAGCAGGGGGAGATGGTGGGGAACATTGGACTTCAACCTTTTGTCCCTGTGCCCCCAGTGACCTCCTCTCTCCAGACACCCTCCTGAACTGTTTGTACCCTGGGGATCATGGAAAGAAGACTCCCAACCCAGCCAACCAGTTCCAGTTTGATAAAGTGGGGTAAGTCGGGTGAGCAATGGTCAGAAGGAGGGTGGAGGATGGTCTGGAGATACATAGTGGTTAGAAGGGTGGAGGATGGTCTGGAGACACATAATGATTAGACCTATAATGGTCAGTAGAAGAATGGCCCATGGTTTTGGACCACTAATGGTTATGAGAAGGGTTCCCAATGGATTGGGAACCAGTAGTGATTACAAAGGAGTGACCAATGGTCAGAAGAAAGGGTGGATGATGGGTTAGGGATTGGTCCTGGTTAGAAGAAAGGTGGGCCAGAGTCTGGAGACGCATAGCAGTCAGAAGAGGGGTAGCGGATGGGTTTGGAGCCAATAATGGTCAAAAGAAGGGGAGCCAATGAGTTGGGGACCCATAGAGGCCAGAGGAGTAGTGGCCTAGGTGGTCAGATGCCCCCCTGACTCTCTCCCCAGTATCCTGTCTCTGAATGACTATGTGACGGAGCTGGGACACCCTTACCTCTGGGCCCAGAAGCTGGGGGGCCTCCATTTCCCCAAGGACCAACCTCAGGTGCGTCTGGAGGAGTTGCATCCATTTTGGTATTGGATGGGGGGATCTCTCTGGGAATCTCTCCATCCTCCAGCATGACTCTATGGTCAGTGCCACACTGGAGGACCTTGAGAGATCCCTGGAGAGGACAGCCTTAACTCCCATGTCTCATCCTGCAGGGTTCCATCATGGCCGACAACACGCTCAGTGCCAGCCACATGGAGCAGACCATGAAGCTGCTCAAGACGCGGCTGGAGTCCCGCCTCGCCCTCCACAGGCAGTTTGCCTCTCTTGGTACGTCACTTCCAGATCGTGCCCTGTAGTGTTGGTACTGGAGGGCCTTGGGAAAGCCTCCTCTCTAGATCCTGCCCCCCTTTGACTCTATTTCCTGTCCACAGAACACGGCATCCTCCCAGTTTCCAGCGAGTGCCAGCACCTCTTCCCGGCAAAGATCGTTTCACGTTTGGTCAAATGGGTGACCATCACTTACGAGGATTATCTGGTAAGGGGCCCCAAAGATGGAGATTTTGGGGGACAGGAAGTCTGCGCCAAATGGTAGCCATCTTGGTAACCTCCTCCTCCTCCTAGGACCTCTCCTACACAAAGGACGTGGTGGAGGCTGGCCTGGCGGAGGACACTCACCTGTACTACATGGCATTCATAGAAAGAGGGACAGGTGCGTAGGATTTGGGAGGGGTCTCAATGACTTTTGGGGGGGCCCTTTTGGCCACCAATTCTCTGTTTAGGTTGGTTAGATGACCTTGGGGAGGCCTTGTGGGGAAGCCATTGTTAATGTTTCTTTATCCCTTTGGGGTCGCCGCAGCCAAACTCCAGGCAGCCGTGGCCTTGAACCCGGGTTACAGCGCCATCCCTCCCGTCTTCAGCCTCTACTTGAACTGGAATGGCGAGCGCAACAACTGCAATGATGACAACATCCGGGTAGGTCAAATAATTATGCATACATAAGTTTAATTGTATGTAATAATGATCTCAACTAGGGGTAAAACTTCAAAATTTCCCTAAAAATCAGTGATGTTTGCGATGTGTCATTGTAGAGAAATTTGAGGGGATAACTCTTGTAGTTTAAAGTAAAAACTCATAAAACGTCAAAACATCCTAATAGCATTCTGAAACTTGGGAAGCTTAAGAGTAACCAATGCCTGCTACCAGTGTAGCAAGTTTTGTCCCAATAAATGGAGGGAGGAGCCCCGTTAAGTGTCCCCATTGGTGCAAATGGGCGAATAACTTCATGAAAAACTAACAGCTTTTTCGGAACTTTGGAATAGATCTGGCAGTCCCCGTACAACTTAAAAAAACAACACTTTTTCAAATCAAAACTGTCGCTCTAATTTAGTCACGACAGAAGGAAGGTGTTTGGAGTCATGCATACCCCTACTGGCTACCATTTTGTTTGGGGTTTACCTGTAAACAAAAGAGTGCCCTTTGGAGCTTGCTCACTAGGAAGCAAGATGGCTGCCATAGTAGTAACTAGCCCCTCCCCCTTTCCTCCCCTGTGCAGGCCATGGAACGGGAGGTGAATGTCCACCAGGGGGAGCTGCTGGGCCCCCATCGGGGTTTCCAGCTGCTGACCAACCAGCTGCAGCGCCTGTGCCTCTTGATGGATGTTTATCTGGAGACAGAGGCCCATGACAGCAGCGTGGAAGGGCCCAAGGAGTTCCCCCGCGAGAAGATGTGCCTCCGCCTGGCAAGGTAGGGCTCTCGTGCCACCCCTCTCCGCAGCCCCAAAGACTGGTCCTCGCAAGTAGTGTTCCCTTGCTACTTTGCAGTTTGTTTTTCGCTGACTCGCTGTTTCACGGGTTTTTCCCTCCTCGCTCCTCCCTCCAGCCTTGAAGGGGCTTTCCTTCGCTCTCTCACTTCACCTGGCAAAGGGAAAGGCGAGGAAGGCATGCTTCCTTTCCTTCCCTTCCTTCCCTGACAGCCACCGCACTGACAGGGGGGAGGAAGAGGAGAGGAAGCCAAAGGCGCAGAGTGGGGAAGGAGGAGGGGAGGTGGAGCCAGGCACAAGGAGGAGTCAGCGGGAAGTCTGGTGTGCAAGGGAGGGGGAAAGAGGAGCGGAAAGAGAAGGCAAAGGGATTGAATGAGTGGGGGGGGGGGAGAGAGGAGTGGGCAGAGCATCCCTACTTTGCAGATTTTCACTTATTGCAGATGGTCCTGGAACGCAACACCTGCCCATAAGTGAGGGCACACTGTAGCTCAGTTTAGGCTCCGATGGGGACCCCTTGGTCTTTTAGGGTTTCTTTAGGGTCGTTCATGCTGGAAAGGGTGTCCAAGGGACACCTGGTCCAACCCTATCCTGCAATACAGGGAAAGGAATTAACCTCAGGGTTCAGCAATGGACCTTGAATGAGTTGAAATATATAGTAACCTGGAATTGGAGGAATCCATAATATTCATAGAGGTGGAATGCTCTTTGAATTGAGAGGAAACCCTAATATTCACGGGGTGAGGAGAAATACGTATTAAGGGACTTTGAATTGGGAGGAAACCCTAATATATATCAGAATCGGAAAGAGCCTTTAATTAGGAGAAACCCATAGTATTAATATGGTCGGAGGGGACCTTGAATTGAGAGGAATCCTTCATGTGGGAGCAGCTGTTCGCGCAGTCATCCAGAAACAAAATGGCCACCCTTGGGGTTCATATAGCAACGAAATGACCACCATTATGGGAAACCCCCAACGGCCACCATTTTGTCTGGGGCTTCCATGGAAGGGCCATCCCACTCAACCTCATCAGCATCAAGGGGACGCACTCTTCTTTCTCCCTCTCACAGGGGCCCCAGTCGGATGAAGCCCTTCAAATACAACCATCCACAGGGATTCTTCAGCCACCGCTGAACCCAGATTCTCCTCGACGCCATCTTTATTCAGGTCTCTTGACTGTATTGTTTTAGAACACTCTCATAATTAAAAGCGGAATCATATGTCGTTTTGTCAAAGTGGTTTGGGTTTGGGGAAAAGGAGGGACGGGGACCTCCTCATTCATCTTTCTATTGAATCCGAAACAACACAGAGGCGAGGCAAGTTCTCGTTCAGCATTTTTATTTTATTATTGCACAGAAGCAAACCGGGTGAGTGTGTGAAACAGTCAGGATGGCAAATAGTGCATTTCTTAAATCTGTTTCATGTGTAAATGCAGGTGACAAAATGGCAGTGGCCATGATGTTCCAAACAATCCGGTATCTGTTCCCCCTTCTCAAATATTTAATTTTCCCTGAGAGCTTTTTTTTTTTTTTAAACCGGGGATCAAAACCCACTCCGAATTTTAGTCCAAACTTAAATGGAGCTTTTTCTAAAGTGCTGAGTGGGGGTGGCTCCATTCAAATTGGGTCTAAAAGCCATTTTTTGAGTCTCTTACAAGAGAAAAAAGCAACATGTAAAAAAACAATACAATAATAAATAAATAAAATACTGCCCAGATTTGGCTCATTTAGCTTTTTCCCATATAATGACAAGTTTTTCAAACATCAAAAAGCAGCATATAAATATATTAATGCCAGAACTGACTTGTTCTGCCTTTTCCCGTAAAATTCCGAGTCTCTCATAAAAGCAGCATATAAATAAATATAATATATATAAAAATATATAATATTAATATGCAGAACCGGTTTGTTTGTTTCTTTCCCCCAGTAAAATTATGAGTCTCTTCAAAGAAGCAACATATAAATAAACATAATACAATAACAATACATAAATAAATATAATATCAATAAATTACTGTAATATAATGATAATACCCAGAACTGGCTTGTTTAGCTTTTCCCGTAACACTATAAGTCTCTCATAAAAAGAAAAAGCAACATGTTAATAAACAGACAATAATCATGTAAATAAATAGAATACAAAAATATAAATCAACATAATACCCAGAACTGACTTGTTTAGCTTTTCCCATAAAATTAGAAGTCTTTTTACAGGAAAAAAAGCAGCATACAAATAATAATATCCAGAACCGACTCATTCGCTTTTCTCGTAAAATGTGGATGAAATTGTGTGCAAAACATGGAAGACAAGGCATGTCTAAAGTCTACCTATCCTCTTTATCTTTTTTCTAACATTCATTTTATTGCGTTTCAACCCATCAATGGGAATTAAATGCACTTAATTCAAGTCAAGTATCACCCTAATTTTCCCCACTCCTGTGTAATTATAATTCAAGTGCGTAATTAAATGTGGCATTCTGCATATAATCGTCATTCGGCTACAGAAGCAATCATAAACATCGGATTTTCATTCTAATTAAACGTATTGCTAATAGGACATTTACCCCGAGTCTCCGAACAAGATGCCTCCATGTTGAGGAGACCCTCACTTCTCATTCTTGTTTTTCCCATTAGCCTTTTCGGGGCCTTTGCGCTCCGTATTAGAGGACTTCTCCACTTTCTTGGAGCTCGTCTCCTTTCTGGGTTTTTCCGGTGACTTCTTTGATTCATCTTTCTTCTCCTCCTTGGCCTTTGCCTCTTTGGACTCTGGTGACTTTTTGGTTGGTTTCTCCATTTCTTTCGTGGGCTTGGAGGCCTTCTGGTTGTCATCTTTCTTCTCAACTTTGGTGGAAGACTCCTCTTTTGGTTTGGAGGCCTTCTGGTTGTCTTCTTTCTTCTCAACTTTGGTTGAAGACTCCTTCTCTGTTGGCTTGGAGGCCTTCTGGTTGTCTTCGCTCTTCTTCATTGATGGTTCTGGTTCCATGACCTTCTCATCCCCACTCTTATCTTTCTTCTCCTCAACTTTGGCTGAACGTTCCTTTTTCTCCTCCATTTGTTTGCTGGTTTTCTGGTCGTCTTCTTTCTTTTCCTTGACCTTGACAGAGGGATCTTTCTTCTTCTCTTCTGCTTTGGAGGCCTTCTGGTCGTCCTCATTCTTCTCTTGCTCCGCCTCCATTGGTTTGGAGGTCTTCTTCTGATTCTCCTCACTCTTCTCTTTCTTTTCCTCTGTTGGTTTGGAGGTTTTCTTCTGGTTGTCCTCGCTCTTCTCTTTCTTCTCTGTTGGTTTGGAGATCTTCTGGTTGTTCTCACTCTTCTCTTTCTTCTCCTCCATTGCTTTGGAGGCCTTCTTCTGGTTCTCCTCACTCTTCTCTTTCTTTTCCTCACCCTTCTTTTTCTTTTCAACCTTGGCTGAAGGCTCCTTCTTCTCCATTGATGGTTCTGATTTGGTGGCCCTCTGGTTGTCCTCACTCTTCTCTTTTTTCCCTTCAACCTTGGCTAAAGGCCCCTTTTTCTCCTGAATTGGTTTGGTGGCCTTCTGGTTCTCCCCATTCTTCTCTTTCTTCTCCTCAACTTTGATAGAGAGCTCCTTCTTCTCTTCTGCTTTGGTGCCATTCTTCTGATTCTCCTCTATTTTCTCTTTCTTCTCTGTTGGTTTGGAGGCCTTCTTCTGATTCTCCTCATTCTTCTCTTTCTTCTCCTCACCCTTAACAGAGGGTTCCTTCTTCTGGTTCTCCTCACTTTTCTCTTTCTTCTCCTCAGCCTTGGCTTGCGGCTTCTGACCCTTCTCCTCCTCTTTCTGCTCCTCAACCTCTTTGATCAGACCATTAGGTCCCGGTGCTACTCCCGTTTTGCTCTCTGGTTTTGTAGGCACTTTCTCCTCCTTGGTCTCCTTCGGTGGTGTCTTGGCCTTCTCCTCCCTGGATGGAGACATCTCTGACATTGGCTTCGGGGCCTCCTTGGATGGAGACTGGGCCTTGGTTGGTGGCTTCTCTCCTTCCTTGGTTGGAGACTTGGTTTCTTCTTTGGTTGGAGAGGCCACCTTCTTGGGAGATTTGGTAGTCATCGGTTCTTTGGTTGGGGACTTCACTTTGGGAGGGGATTTGGCTTCATCCTTTGGTTTCTCCGGAGACTTAATCTCTGTCTTCGTTGAAGGCGGTTCGGCTTCCTCCATAGACGGAGACTCCATCCTCTTTGGTGGCATCTCAGCAGCAGCTTCTTCTTCTCCTCCTACCTCTGTCACTTCCTCTGTCACCTGGATCTCATCAGTCTGCTCTTCCACAATCACCGTCTCCTTCTCCAACTTCTCCACCAGCTTGATCTTCTCTTCGCTCTTGACCTTGATGAGACCCTTTGGGAGGCCTTCCGGAAATGGGAAGTAACCCCCTCCGGATCCCAGGCGGCACTCTTCTCCTTCTAGAAGCTTCCTGGAGGAGAAAGGAAGTTTGTAAGAATGGAATTTAGTTGAAAGCATGGTACAGAATACTCCATATACAGCACAATCAGTTCATATTAAGGTTTCCATGAGTCTGGCGGGTATGGGCAAGGCCTGCAGGTCAGACCCGGTCCGCTCGGCTTTTTTCCTCCAGTCTGTAGAGGGCGAGTCACACTCTGAGAGGCTTCACTGCCATATAATGCAATGTCAGCATGTAATTAACTGCATTGGACTGGATTATATGGCAGCACACTCATATAATCATACTCATATACAGCTAGAGCTAATCCTTTCTATCTATACACCAACCTCTTGTGATTATAGGTGAGCACTGCATCCATAAATATTAATACCTAGCAGCCAATCCTTTCTATCTCTATTCTGCCCTCTTGTGGTGGCATCTGAGTGCCACACAGTCCAGCAGCTAATCATTTCTAATGTCATTTTTCACTTTTTGGGTCCCTCATCCTAAAAGGAAGTTGATGTTTCACTTGAAAGCCCCAAATAATTTGAAGTTGGAGAATAAACGATATGTGTGCCATGTTTTGGTCCAGATCCCATCAAACCATATGGGAGTCTTCGTGGTACAAACAAGTGTACATATTATGACATATATATTGGAGGCACCTGTAAGCGGCAATCTCGATATCTAGCGCCATCTTGACGTTCAGCAGCTCCTGGTATTCGCGGAGCTGGGCCACCATTTCCCATTTGGCACTCTGGAGCTCATCATCCAACTGAGCAATGGTTTCCTGTCGGAGAAAAGAGATTTTCTAGCTTGCAGATATAAGACTGAACACCAGATAACAACAAAAGGATTTTATTAGTTTGTAAATATAATACTGAACACTAGGATGGCAATAAGTGGATTTTTCTAGCTTGTAAAAAGAAGACCGAACTCTCTTTTATAATGCTTATTTATCATTTATAATAATAATAAACACTAGGTGGTGATGAGCAGATTTTTAGATAAATCTTTAGGTAAATCTTTAGGTAAATATTAGACTAAACACTATCTTATTATTTATTTATAATTTATCATTAATAGTAATACTGTACACTAGATGGCAATAGTTGGACTTCTCTAGCTTGTAAATATAAGCCAAAAACATTAATTAATTAATTAATTAATTAATTAATAATGTATTATTAATAACAAAAGTGCAATAAGTGGATTTTTCTAGCTTGTAAAAGTAAGGCTAAAAACTTAAGAATAATATTAAACACTAGATGGCAATAAATGGATTTCTCCAGCTTGTAAATTTAAGACAAATAGTAACAAAAAGGTGTTTCGTCTTATATTTACAAGCTAGAGAAATCCACTTATTGCCATTTAGTGTGTAGGAGTATTATAATAATAATACTAAACACTAGATGTCAATAAGTGGATTAATAATAACTAGTATGATTACAAATAATAGTAATAAAATAGCATTTTTATTTATAATCTTATTATTAATACTAATTATATTAAGATGGCGCTAAGTGGCTCCTTGAGCTTGTAAAGAAGAGGGTGGGTTGTCAGGGACGTCATGCCATCAGGGTTTTTGTGCCAGGGATGGGCCATCAGAGGCATTGTGCCGGGGGCGGTGGGCTGTCAAGGAGTCATGTCAGGGGTGGGTCATCGTGCCAGAGGGTGGGGCATCAGGGCATTGTGTCGGGGATGTTGTGCCAGGGACAGTGGGCCATAGGAGGCTGGGCGTTAGGAGGTACTTGCCTGGTAGGCCTGGATGTCCCCTTGCTGCTGGTCTTCCAGGTGGAAGCGCTGCCTCTCCAGGGACTCCTTCTTCCCACGCAGGGTTTCCAGCTCTGTACTCCGGGCTTGAAGCTCACGGCGGGACTTGGCCACCTCCTCCTGGGCCCGGCAGACTGCCTCCATGCTGACCTTGGACACCTCCGACAGCTGGTCCAGCCGCTCTGGGCACCAAAGGGAAGAGAGTGAGGGTGAAACACAGCCCAAGGCACCGCGCGGATGGCTCCCACCCCAGTCCGAACCAGAGCTGGCCCTCCTTAGTATCCCAAAGGGGACATTGAAGACCCTATCTGTGAGCCTCCTGGGGACAGTGTGGGGTGTGTTACAGAAATATCCCTAGAGTCATTGCTCGTCTCCCATCCAAGTGCAAATCCTGCATAGCACCCCAAATCTGGTGCTTGTGGGCTATATGGAAACCCACTTGGGAGGGCCATTCACCTGCAAGATGATTCAGCAGAATCACCTTCTAATCCCAAATGTATCCCTCAATTAGTATCATAGAGTTGGAAGAGACGGCATGGGCCATTTAGTCCAACCCCCTGACATATGCCACCCACCCAGTCTCTACACCACAAGGCAGAGCATTTCACTGCTAAACAGCTCTTCTTACAGTCAGGAAGTTCTTTCTAATGTTCCTTCCCTATCATTTAAACCAGGCATCCTCAAACTGTGGCCCTCCACCTGTTTGGGCCTTCAACTCCCAGAATTCTTGACAACTGAACAAGCTTGTTAGGGCTTCTGGGAGTTGGGGGCCCAAACAGTTGGAGGGCAGCAGTTTGAGGATGCCAGATTTAAAACCATGGCTCCATGGAGTCCTAGTTTCCAGAGCAGCAAAAAACAAGCCTATTCCCTCCTCCTTAGGACAGTCTTTCATATATTTATACATGGCTCTCACATGAAATACCAGATGACTGGGTAACATGAATAAAGCTACTAGACAACAAGTATGATCCGCTGCCCTGCAGGGTTTTCACCCCTCTACAACATCACCCTTGGTGCACATCAGGGATCAGCACTATCGCCCTTGCTATTAATACTCAGTTTAGCTTTACCTATCATCCAAGGTGGGTGGTTTTGGGACAATTTCCCTGGAAACGTGAGGAGAAAAGTCCTGTTCCAACAGCAAGTTTCTCTTGCCCTCTTCTATGGCATTAAGGACGGCCGACACTATTGCAGAGAATATGTTTTAATGGATTTTAACTGTGATTTTCTGAAATACGGTTTATATTGAATTCTGCTTTAATGTTTGCATATTTGTATACTAGCTTGGGGACCCGGCGCTGCCCGAGTTATTTGAGAAAGGAATTGTGTATCAAGGTTGGCCTTTATCAGTTATTTATATGGCTCGCAGTAGTCTCAGGAAGTTTGTGAAGGTACTGCGAGTCCCATCATCTGTGCTCCATCCTCCTCCAAACTGCACCAGGATGGAGAGTGGGTCATGGGGGTTCTGTGTGCCAAGTTTGGTCTTTATCGATCTTTGTTGGGGGCCACAGTGGTCCGTGGGAACCAAACCATTTGAAAGTACTACAAATCCCATAATCCATGGTCCACCTCCCCCAAAATGCACCAGGACATAAAGGGGGTCATGGGGATTATGTGTGCCAAGTTTGATGCAGGTGCGTCACCCGTGTTAGTCACAGTGGCCTGTGAACGTTGCAGCCAATCAGAAAGCTGCCACATACACCTCCCTACGTCCACCCTCCACATACAAACATTGACTTTTATTATATACCAGCTTGGGGACCCGGCGGTGCCCGGGTTTTTCTGAGAAAGGTATTGTGTGCCGAGGTTGGTTTTTATCAGTTATTTATGTGGCTCACAGTGCTCTCGGGAAGTTAGTGAAGGTATTGTGAGTCCCATCGTCCATTGTCCAACATCCTTCAAACAGCACCAGGATGTAAAGTGGGTCATGAGGGCTCTGTGTGCCAAGTTTGGTCTTCATCAGTCATTGGATGAGGGTCGCAGTAGTCTCATGAAGTGAGTGGAGGTACTTCAAGTCCCATCATCAGTGGTCCACCCTCCTCCAAACTGCACAAGGATGTAGAGTGGGTCATGGGGACTGTGTGTGCCAAGTTTGGTCTTTATCAGTCTTTGTTGGGGGCCACAGTGTTTTGTGGGATCTGAAGAGTTTGAAAGTACTACAAATCCCATCCTCCATTGTCTGTCCTCCCCCAAACCTCACCAGTCCGTAAAGGCGGTCATGGGGGTTATGCGTGTCATGTTTGGTCTTGATCAGTCAATGGATGAGGATCGCAGCGGTCTCGGGAAGTGAGTGGAGGTACTTCAAGTCCCATCATCCATGATCCACCCTCCTCCAAACTGAAGTAGGATGTAGAGTGGGTCATGGGGGCTCTGTGTGCCAAGTTTGGTCTTAATCGGTCTTTGTTGGGGGCCATAGTGGTCTGTGGAAACCAAAGCGTTTGAAAGTACTACAAATCCCATAATCTGTGGTCCACCTCCCCAAACCGCACCAGGATGTAAAGTTGGTCATGGGGGTTATGTGTGCCAAGTTTGGTCCAAGTTCGCCATTTGTAGCGGTCACAGTGGCTTGTGAAAGTGGTAGCCAATCTGAAAGCTGCCACATACACCTCCCTCCGCATACAAACACTGACTATTATTATATACATAGATAGATAGATAGATAGATAGATAGATAGATAGATAGATATTTTAAATTGTATGCTAATGCTTTTGTGTTAAGCCACTTTGAGTCTCCTTCGGGAGAGAGAAAGCAGGGTGTAAGTAAATATAATAACACTCTGCATGGACACTACGACAGCAGATGTGCAGACTATGCATCCCTAGACACTCCAGCCCCCCCAAAACGTGCACCCCTCCAACAACAGCTGTAGGCATGATGTGATTTCTTGACCATGTGCTAAACAATGACATCCATCAAAGACTAGGAATAAAAGCAACCAACAAGAAAATGCAGGAAGCAAGACGACAGTGGTGCGGCCACATCATGAGAAGAGAATCAACATCAGTAGCCCAAACAGCACTGCATTTGGAGATACATGGCTCTCATGTCTCCTCTCAACCTTTTTTTCCATAGGCTAAACATCTCCAGCTTTTTAAGACACTCCTTGTTAGAATATTACATTGTGTTATTATCATGATTTTATTATCCTATACAATCACTATCATCATTCTACTATAATGCTACTATCATTATTATATTATATTTTTATTATTTTATTGAACTATATCATTCTATTTTATATTATTATCCTGTTATTATGCTAGATGGTTGTTCTATTTTTACATACACATCATTATATTTTACTCTGTGGTATTGTATGTGATTCTTCCCATCGTCATTGTAATAGTAATGTATTATTGTATATTACCATTAGTATTATATTATCATATCTTATCATCATTATATTCTTTTCCCCCACCCCAAAAGGAATCTTTCCTCCTCCAGCCTCCTCCTCCCCTTTTTGGTGCAGGATGCGGATCCTGACTCAGCAGCAAAGGAAAGACTGCAGAGGATCCCACTGATGCAGCAAAGCCAAAGGCAAGGTTGCAGAGGACCCCCCCCCCCATTGTGCATAGGACATCCCCCTTTATAGAGTAGGACAGAGAACCCTTCCCTAAAGAATGGCACCCCTCTCTATGGACTGGGGACGCCCCCTTAATAGAACTGTAAATAGATTGATAGATCTATAGATACATAGAATGATAGATCTATAGATACACAACAATAGATCTGTATAGATAGATCTATACTAGATAAACAGATCTGTAGATACAGAAAGATAGATCAATAGATAAACAGATCTGTAAATAAATAGATCTGTAGATAGAGAGAACTAGATAGATATAATAATATAAATTTATCCATAGTTCTATTTATCCCCATTAAGTACACTATTACTACTGCCCCACAAATCAGCCCCACAAATCACACTATTATTGCTATTATCTATCCACATTAATCGCACTATTATTATATTAACATATACATTATGTGTATCCCCACAAATCACCCTATTATAGCATATTATATTTTATTATTTTGTGTATCCCCACAAATCACCCTATACTATTATGTATATTCACACAAACCTATCATATTTATATTATTACTATTATGTGTAACCCCACAAACCACATGATTATTGCTATCGTATTTATATTACTATGTGTATTGCCACAAATCACACAATTATTGTGGTTATCATATATTACTTTTATTATTATACTTATCCACATAAATTATTATAAATGATGTGTATCCCCACAGATCCTATTTCTATGTATGAATATTACTATGATGATTGTATGTATCCCTGTTATTATATGTATTATTATATATAATATAATATAATGATATGTATTATAATATTATATTATTGTATTATATGTTTGTTTGATTTGTTCTGTCAGAAATGTAATATAATTTGACTGGTTGTCCTGACACGACAAATAAATAAATAAATAAATAAATAATATGTATGCTCCAACCCCTCCGCCACCTTCTAGTTCCTTCCCTTTTCTAAACAGTTTTTTTTTGCCTTCAATATATCCCTGTTTTCTAGTCTTTTAGATTTTAACATGCAATGCTTTTATGAGACTCTACCCCACTCTCCTTATGTTGGGCTATGACTGCAATTTTTTTATTTGTTTATGTATTAATATCACTATGATGATTATAGGTATCCCCTCGAGTACTATATGTATCAATATCACTATGATTATATTATGGATATTAGTATGACTATTATATGTATCCCCATGATATGTATGAATATTACTATGATGATATGTATCCCTGTGATTATATGTATGAATATAATATCATACCTAGGATGATAAACATCAAAACATACGGGCGTTCCCTGGGCAACGTCCTTGCAGACAGCCAATTCTCTCACACCAGAAGCGACTTGCAGTTTCTCAAGTTGCTCCTGATATGACAAATATATATATGTGTATGTATGTGTGTGTGTGTGTGTGTGTATATATATATCATACCTATTATATTATAATTTTACATTATATATATAATTAATTTTTTCCGTGTCAGAAGCGACTTGAGAAACTGCAAGTCGCTTCTGGTGTGAGAGAATTGGCCGTCTGCAAGGACGTTGCCCAGTGAACACCTAGATGTGTTAACATTCTTTGAGAGGCTTCTCCCACGTCCCAAAATGAGAAGCTG